ACAACTCATACTTACCTTACATGTAAGATTTTATGAGATTTCAAATAAGTAAAAATATATCTTAACAAAGTAAAACTGATCACTATGGAAAGTCAAGTATGCACACTCCTTGATAATCCATCATGAATCTTAACAAACGTAAAACTTCTTCATGCACATGCAAACAGACTACCGTATATACTCGAGAAATTTTAGTTGTAAGCTTCATTTTAAAACGCAGATCCACGGGTCCATGCTAGTTTCGATAGAATTTAGTTCACATTGAATGCGGGGCAATATCGAGTTACAGGTAGTGCTAGAGTACTTAGCTGTACGTTGACCCAGATACCGGGTACACACACGGACAACAGCAGGCTGATTTAGAATACAGTGCAGCGATTGCTGATTACTGCCACCTATCTGTACGCTTTCCACGTCACTGTTGCAGCGGTGGCTGTAATGAGCCACAAGCAAGACCACTAGCTGGCGAGATAACCGAATGTGCCTTTGGAGCTGAGCGTGTGCACTGAGATGCAGAGGAGTAGTTACCATAACAGTTTGATTGTTCCAGGATCTTTGCCTAGGTAATATCTGACAAAATAATAAAAATCCCAGGATTTCATAGCCCCAAGTTTTACCCTCGACTTATCCACGAGTAATTTTACAATTGTTGGTCAAAAAACTGCTCTCGACTTATAGACGAGATCAACTTATAGACGAGTATATACGGTAGATATATTCATTCTTGTTATCAAAAGAGTGAATATACATTTCTGTGACATAAAATGTTAGAACTAGCCTTAACTTTTGAACTTTTAACATACCACCGAAAAAGATAGTTTCATTTGCTTAGGATCCCTTCCTGCTAACTCAAGTTCTTTGGACCGTTTTTCTCTCATTTTCTGAGCACCACCTTTCTCTTTAGATGTTGTTTTACTCTCCATATTTATCAATATGAAACCAACTGTAAAATTTATTTAACACCAAAACACGACAATGAGCTACATAAAAACAGCAAACATTTACTAATGTAGTGATTTAACTCCTAAATGGCAGATCTATACAGGGGCATAATCTATACACCAAAACTGTTCCATTAAGCAGGGGCATGATCTATACACCAAAACTGCTTCATTAAGCTAAAGTTGTTGTTTTGTTGACTAAAGTGTCCTTTTAAGTGATTAATTTACAATCACTTAGCGCACACCTCATCATGAAAGAAGATTGCAGATTTAGTGTCAGCCAGGAGAGACTGGCCAGTGGTCAATATATTTATGTTTAGTCAAAAACATAATGGTGGCACTTTGCAAATTGACATGTTCGGCAATGACACAAACAAAGGGCACGGGGAGAGACAGACGTAGTGCCTGTAATTTACACGAATTCTATGCTCTGGGGACCAATATACAGCCTGATTGCTGCCAGAGGTAAAAATGTACAAAGCAGCCTGGTGTTTTACACCCAACAGACAGCAGCACCTGTCGGTAAAAGCCAAATTACTCATCTTTATATGGACACAAAAACAAAAATATAATTTCACCTGGGAATTTGACAAATATAACTCAAAAAGACTATCTGCATCTGATCATTAAGTACATAATGAGCCTGACAACCCTGGTTTGAGAATCAGACCGTTTTAACTTGTCCGTTATAGCCATGTGTTTTAAAGAAGGGGTTTCATCTTGTATTAGTAGTGCCACAGCAGCGGCATGGAAGGCTTCAATTATATTTTTGTACTGGGAAAGACTGCCGGCAGTAAGTTAATATTGGTGAAGCACTGCAGCTCTCTGATGACACGGTTTAGGTGGCCGCGAGGCTCTTAACGAGAGGCCGTCTAAATCGCCTAATTAGAGAGACGCCTCTTGCCAAGAGATCTGGTCTCTGTGCAGCATATCAGTGTATCACTGAGCTCTACAGCAATAGAACTCACAGTAATGTGCAATTTGTAAGTATATCACACATCACTTCATCAATACAATGCACAGGACTGGGCAGTGTTTGAGTATATCTCAGCCAATCCACTCCTTTCCTATAGGAAAGCATTGAGAAGCTATTGTGCATGCATGGCAAAATGCTGCGCTGCACCAATCAGCAGCTCCTTACAGAGATGCATTGAATTAATGAATCGCTATGGGGAGTGTACAGCGTGGTGCTAATCATCAGCGCTGCACATTATGCAGCACTGACCTAGAAAGCACCTCTAGCGGCCATCTGAGGTGTGGCCACTAGAGGTGTTCCTAGGCTGTAATGTAAACAATGCTTTTCTCTGATAAGGCACTGTTTACATTAAAATGCCTATAGGGAATGACTATATGACACCAGATCAAAACACATTAAAGGACCACTATAGTGCCAGGAAAACATACTCGTTTTCCTGGCACTCTAGTGCCCTGAGGGTGCCCCCACCCTCAGGGTCCCCCTCCCGCCGGGCTCTGGAGAGAGGAAGGGATTTCTTCCTCTCCTCCTTCCTAGCAACGTCATCGGGTAAATGCGCATGCGCGGCAGGAGCCACGCGCGCATTCAGCCAGTTCATAGGAAAGCATTTACAATGCTTTCCTATGGACGCTGGCGTCTTCTCACTGTGATTTTCACAGTGAGAAACACGCAAGCACCTCTAGCGGCTGTCAATGAGACAGCCTCTAGAGGCTGGATTAACCGTCAGTGTAAACATAGCAGTTTCTCTGAAACTGCTATATTTATAAAAAAAAGGGGTTAACCCTAGCTGGACCAGGCACCCAGACCACTTCATTAAAGGGAAACTCCAGTGCCAGGAAAACAAACAATCTGTTTTCCTAGCACTGGAGGGTCCCTCTCCCTCCCACCCCTCAATCCCCAGTTACTGAAGGGGTGAAAACTCCTTCAGTCACTTACCTGAGACAGCAGTGATGTCTCCTCCTCTGCGCCGCTCCTCCTCTGTATTGCGTCGGCCGGTGGACGAGACTGATCCCGCCCACCGGCCGAGGACACCTAATGCGCATGTGCGGCAATGCCGCGAATGCGCTTTAGCGCTCCCCATAGGAAAGCATTGAAAAATAATTTCAATGCTTTCCTATGGGGAAATGAGCGACGCTGGAGGTCCTTACACAGCGTGAGGACGTCCAGCGACGCTCTAGCACAGGTTTCCTGTGCTATGAAGGAGGAAGTGACTTCTAGTGGCTGTCTAGTAGGCAGCCACTAGAGGTGGAGTTAACCCTGCAAGGTAATTATTGCGGTTTATAAAAAAACTGCAATAATTACACTTGCAGGGTTAGGAGTAGTGGGAGTTGGCACCCAGACCACTCCAATGGGCAGAAGTGGTCTGGGTGCCTGGAGTGTCCCTTTAAGCTGAAGTGGTCTGGGTGCCTATAGTTGTTCTGGTGATTATAGTGTCCCTTTAATATTCCTGTGTACACTACTACATTAAAACAGTAGATTTTATTAGCAGGGATCAGTATTTCTAAATCTACATGGCTCACTTCTTAAGTAAAAAAAAAAAAAATTGTTAAGATTTAATCTGCTAATCAAATGTCACTTTAGTGAGAGAGAATCCTTACAATGATAGAGAAAAAAAATTGAGCAAATTTCTAGATTTTTAGAACACAACTTTAATTTGCAGATTATTTTTTTTATAAATGTGCACATTACAAATATTGTACTGTCCCCCACCCCCCCTTTAAAAAAAAATCTTCCTCATTACAAGATTTTTCTATTTTGCAAATTATTTTTTTTTTTAATATATAAATGTGCACATCATCGCATTTATTGTACTTCCCACCCACCCCCTACACCTAAAAAAATATCTCCCTCATTACAATCTTTTTTTATTTATTATTTTGCAGATTTTTATATTTTATAAATATTCACATTGCATTTATGGTACTGCCCTCACCCCCTCCCCCTAAAAAAGTAATATCTCCTTCAATACAATCTTTTTTTATTTTGCAGATTATTATGTTTTTATATAAAAGTGCACATCCTCGCATTTATTGTACTTCGCACCCACCCCTTAAAAAAATCTCCCTCATTACAATCTTTTTTCATTATTTTGCAGATTTTTATTTTATATATGTACACATTGCATTTATTTTACTGCCCCCACCCCCTCCCCCTAAAAAATAATATCTCCCTCATTACAATTTTTTTTATTATTTTGCAACCTTTTTTTTTATATGAACACATTGCATTTAATGTCCCCCACCCCCTCCCCCTAAAAAATAATATCTCCCTCATTACAAATTCTTTCATTATTTTGCAGATTTTTATTTTATATATGTACACATTGCATTTATTTTACTGCCCCCACCCCCTCCCCCTAAAAAATAATATCTCCCTCATTACAATTTTTTTTATTATTTTGCAACCTTTTTTTTTATATGAACACATTGCATTTAATGTCCCCCACCCCCTCCCCCTAAAAAATAATATCTCCCTCATTACAAATTCTTTCATTATTTTGCAGATTTTTATTTTAAATATGTACACATTGCATTTATTTTATGGTACTGCCCCCACCCCCTCCCCCTAAAAAATAATATCTCCCTCATTACAATATTTTTTTATTATTTTGCAACCTTTTTTTTTATATGAACACATTGCATTTAATGTCCCCCAACCCTTAAAAAAAAAATTCCTTCATTACAACTTTTTTTTGGAGACTTTTAATTTTCTTTTAATATATGAACATATTGATTTACTGCCCCTTCCCCATAAAAAATAGTATCTCCCTCATTACATA